ATAAAATAAATTAAAAATTTTGTATTGTTCATACATATGCGTACCGAACCGAAAGCACTGTATCGAACGGTTCAATATCGATACGAGTATTGTTGCACCCCTAATATATATATTTGCAGCTTCAATCCTCTCACTGCAAATTCAGGGCTAAATATTGTGTGTTTACGTGCTGCGGTTGCTCATTAGCGCTTTGAATTGCTCTCCCGAGAATTCAGCTGTGATCAAAATGCAGTCGTGCTGCTTCACTGATGTAGTTACAGATTAGTTATAATGAGTGCAGCCAGAATGAATAATGGAGAGCACAATAGGGTCTGGTGTGACAATCACACCGATGCACAATGATTCAATATACCCGAGCGCATTAATCAATTAATCTGAAGACTGAGTCTCACATTCAAATGTCATGTCGTCTCGATCTGTCTCATTTCTTTGTGCACGGGTACAGCTAATGTTTACTAAATTACTCAGCTAGCACGTGGTTGCCAGGTTTCTGGCATTAGTAAGTTATCTGTGACTTTCAATCGGGTCAAACCAGAGGACTGTAGATAACGCATGACAGTTTGTGGTGCTTCTTTCTGTTTGTTTGTTTGTTTGTTTTTTATTTCTCTGACTACTGCACAGTGATGATGCACAGTCACTGTGCCTAGTCAAGTGTCAGGCAATTAACAGTTAATTTAAAAACTACTTATTTTACAGTGTGTGGTTTTTGTTTTGGGTTTGTTTGTTTGTTTTTAATACAGAGCAAATAAACTTGACACTATTTAGTGGCCTGTTTCCAGAGTTAAATGGACAGTTAACTGCAAAGTCATATTTATCTATTATTCATCTTTATTTTAGGGCTATTTATTCATTTTAGATACACTATATTGCCAGAAGTACCCATCTAATTCAGGTGTTCCAATCACTTTCATGGCCACAGCCGTATAAAGATACTGTGATGTATAATGTGCAGAGGTGGCCAACTTTGTGTAGAGTCAACGCTACAGATCTTCAAACTTCATGTGGGCTTCAGATTAGCTCAAGAACTGTATGTGGAGAGCTTCGTGGAATGGGTTTATCATATTAAAGCCAATGGATTAAGAATGGGATCTCACGCAACTACAGACCGTAAACAAGGCGCGAATAGGACACCGGAAACAAAGCTCCCCACAGGAGTTTCCGCACCGGAAGTAGCATATGCTAACGTGCACATAGTCAATTACACAACAATTGTTTTCAAACGTTTGCCGATCTGTCTGAAAGTGACTGCAGTCTTGTTTGGAGATGGGTTGCCTCCCAACCGGTGACCTATGTGATGTTTTGCAAAAGAAAGTGGTCACCATGCCTACCTGCAATTGCTTGTCGAAGCAATTTTTGTTGCCTACAAGGAGGTGGCCCCCAATCCCCCACCAATATGTATTTTATTTTTACATTTCTGAAGAAAAGGCTTAAATAACTGTGCGTCACACACCAGCACAATCTAAATGAATAAAAGTCATGTTTTTAGGTGAACTGGCCCTTTAAGACAGCCTCCCCCACACACGGAGACACACACATGTTTAGTGTTAGCTGTTTATTGGACATACAGATACCAGTGTTATGTAGGATTTTGTTGTTGTCGGTTGTGTAGTTTATATTAGAAAAAGCTCACACTAAGTATGCTTTAATGTTGCTGTTGTCACGGCAGCCATTTTGACACAAAGCAGCAGGAAGTCACTTTAATGAAGGCCACGCGCCTAAACAGAAAAGAAGCTGCTGCTGTTTCATGTGAAAGTGGCAACTGTTCAAGGATCTTGAAAAAAAGAAAAGGTGTCATTCTGATTGAAGTTGCTTGTTGTTAATGCCAGTGGATTAACAGAACTGCAACAATCGCTTCTGCAAAACTAACAAAAGCAACACTTAAATGCATTACCAGTAAATATAACAGGCCGCTTATGTACTGAGTTCATGTCCTTTAATCCCATGTTGTTCCCCCTCACTCGCATCACAGGTAAGAAATCCCACCTAAGGAAGACCAGCGAGAAGAAGCCGCCCACAAAGGAGTCGATTGCCAAGCTGCAGCAGTCCACCATCTGGAAGATGGAGAACGACTTCTATGAATTTGCCCTGGAGCAGTTCCAGTTCGTCAGGGCGCATGCTGTCCGGGAAAAGGACGGGGAACTCTACCTGCTGGCCCAAAATTTCTTCTATGAAAAAATCTACCCCAAAAACTAGAGAAGAGAGCGGAGTGCTTTGGAGGAGGACAGAACACTTCGTCCATGCTCAGTCGTGCGCTCTTGAGACAAACAGAAGTGGGAGTGAGGTGAGACTTGAGGACTACTGTGTGCCTCATTTGAGAGCATGATGTGGAGCTGGAGAAGCAATCCGGCTGTGACGCAGCGACCGGACTGGCAGCAGTTGCTACTCGCGGCTGTGCCGGCCAGCTGGACGAGGAGCTCGCGTTTCAATCAGCAGGTTGCTATCGCTACCGGCAGCTGCTCCATTCCCTTTCACTTCAACGCCAAAGGTCGTCCATGCCGAGGGCCTCTCCCGGCTGGCGTCTTAAAGACGACCGACCGACAGCTGATCATCCCTCCACTCCTGATTGGATTCACTGTTCTTCTATCCAGAAGATTCTCATTGGCTCTGTACTGTTTGGTTGTGTTTGGTTGTATTTTATCTCTTTATTACGTTTTTGGTTTGTACGTAAAGACGTTTGACGATGAAACGACATGCCTCACGCCTCATCACCACTACTAACTTAAAGAGACGGTACTGTAAGAAACGTTGCTGTGTTGCTGGACTTGAATGAAGCCTTTTGAGGTTTTTATGAGTAAAAGTCCTGTGAACGCGGACTGTTTCCCGGGGCAGGCGTGTATGTTTTATACTATACTAAGTGTGTGACTCTTGTAAATGTGCAGCTTTTCCTATGGAGGGTAACGGAGGAAACGTTTACACCTTATTTTATTGAAGTGAGGTGAACTTGCTGCTTCTGTAAATATTTACAACTTTTTAAATCCATTGCATTTCCTGGCAGATAGGTTACAGAAGTCTGGACGTGTTGTTGGTTTTATTTTTGTCACGTAGAAGCATTTAAACACGGGAGGCTGCTAAAATCTGTTTGGGGAAATGTGCTTTTCCTTGTTTTCAATGCGACTTTTGTACCAGTAAATTTCAGACTTTTAGCAACTAAAGCATGAAGAGTGGACATGAGGAAGTTCCCCTGCTGTATTGGGTGTCACCTAACTCCACTATGAGCCCAAACGTTTCCATTTTTTTTACAAGTGGGGAAATTATGCATTACTTCAGGAGCTTCAAAAGAGCATTCCCAGTCAAAGCCAGACTGTTTCTCATTGATTTTTATGCCACGCTAACATAACCAGCTGCAGTATTACGGTACGTTTAAAAGGCTGATAAGAGATCAGTCTTCATTCATTTACTTGATAAATTGGCTTTATTTGGGCTCTGATGGGGTTTTTTTTTTTTTTTTAATCGTGTAAGGGAAACGATGAAAATTACAAGCATTTTAAAAAGGCATACTTTGTTATGATGGGAAAGAGCCTCAGCTTCTTCCTGGATGTGCTGTCACTGTCTGTATTTGTATATCCAGGTGAATGGATGCTCCCTTGCCATCTGAGGACATACTGTAGTTAACCACTCTGTCTTGTGTGCCTTCTCTAGAGTTCGCCTTGTTTTGCAGGTTTTTCTGATTGAACATAAAGACAACACGGCTGCCATGTCTGTTTTCATCTTTTGACTGACAAACAATATAAAGAAGACTTTAAAAAAAAAACTACCTGAGGTTCATGACTGGTTTTTGTTTTTTGTTTTTTTTTCTTTTTCAAATGTTTTTGCATCATCATCATCATCATCATTGTGTACAGCAGAGCAAGGATTTTGCGAGGTGATACAGATAAACGGAAAAGTCAAGCTGGCTTACTTCAGGTGTCCTGCAGGGGGCGATAAAGAGCCTCCAGGTTCACTCCTGCCTCTGAGTGTGTGTTTATCATTTTCACATGACTTCCAAACAGTGTTTGATGATTGCAGTGACATGTGGTTGTGTGCCAACCTCTTTATATTTCCAGCACGTGTTCAGCACCTCCTCTTCTCGTAGTTTCTGCAGCTGAGCTTCATAAACGGAGGGCACTGAAACAGGAGCCACCACAGGCCAGGGAAAGTTGATGTGAGCCAGTGCTGCCACTCAGCGTTATTCACCCATGCTCTCAGATAATCCCTGGACAGGCATCAGCTACTGGACTCATCCCCGGTAATCTCAAATCATTCTCCAGTTACAGCTTCCTGGTCTTGGCCCTCTGACCTAGATTAACATGGACAATGCCCCCCCTCTTACTCTGAAGCCTCAGTTACACGCTGCCTTTTAATATTAGACCAGGGACTGCCTGTTTTTACGACAGTCTGCTACTGAAAGCTCCATGTAAACAACCTAAAATAAACCTTTAATACACACCCATACGTACACAACATTTAACATATAGTCATGCAGCGTTGTGTTTTTCAGTGTCAGATGTGAGGTTCCCTGTTGATTGGATGACATATTTATACATATAACAAATGTATAAAACCACTACAGATACCAGATTTTCTACTGATTCTTTTTTCTTTATTTTATTGTTTACCGGTAATCAAGTGAGCCGGGGGATTCTTTCAGTTTAGCAAAGCTGGTCAAGAATTTAAAATGAGCCAAGCTGTCACATCCTGGGGTTTTCGTTCAGTCACTAGGGTAATTTTTCCATGCGCTAACTCTGTTGTCATGTCAGTCACTGCCACTCCCACATGCCTGTCCTTTCTTGTCAGTAGTGTCACCTGATCTGCCTCTCCTCCACTCACCTGCTCCTATTCATCCAACCGATACCGCGGGAGGTGTTCATCCAGCTCCCCACCACTGATCAGTCAGACTGTCTTTGAGCTCGGTGCCTTAGCGTTCCAATATTCTGTGTCAGTGCCTGCTTTTTAATATCATTACCTGTAGTTTTAGAATTTGCTACATCTCGTGCTTTATTTGTCAGTAGAGTTCATTTGCTTTTTATTTATTTAGTTGTTTTTTTTTTTAAACCAGGAGCCATTTTACTGGATGTCCATTTCCCCACTGTAAAACCCGTGCTATGCAACGCCATTCAATATGTTTTGCTTAGTGTTGCATCACTGGAGGTTTGACTAAGAATAATGCATGAGCAGAGTTTCACACGCAGGCTGTGGCTATCGACCTGAGAAACATGGAAAAGGAAAATAAACAAGCTAGCCTGAATCATTCCCTTTATGTCTGTGAAGTGTATTTTTATGCTTTGCCGCTATTGGTAATAACGCCGTCCATTCATTTTCTTGCACCTATCCAGCACAGGGTTGTGGGGGTGGTTGCAGCTGTCACAGGGTGAA